GCAAGAAAAACAAACTAAGATGCTTCAGATTTCATTGCCAGGAATGAGAAAAACATTTTAATCTTTGATTTGTTATTTAGCAAAGATAATGTTCAAATAAAGTATTGAGTAATTGAGGAAATAATTCTACCCCAATTAGGATATTTTAATCTCTTTGACTTCAAGAAAATGGAGATCATATATCAGATTATCTTAAAACAGTTATTCTTTAAATCACATGATCAACCCAGTTTTGTTCCAATAAGTTCACAACAAAACAAATAATGTTGTCCTGATACCTAAAAAGTTATGCCACAATTTTCTGGTCCAACATTTTACTAGCCACACCACACAATGATTAAGTAATGGTTAAATCTTTAACATGTAAAAGTGGGCAAGAGCCAGCTCTGCAAAAGCAAACTACATCACAAGGTTAGGACATCTTTGCACAATGTACAATGCACAATGGGTAGTCCATAAACATAAGGTCACCATGGATATTTACAGGTAGTTCTCGACTTACAACTGAAACAAGTGACTTATGACCATTTTTCACACTTAAGACCATTGCAGCACCCCCATGGTCACATGATCAAAATTCAGATACTTGACCAGTGATGCACATTTAGGATGATTGCAGCATCCTGGAGCCATGCGGTCACCTTTTGCAACCTTCTGACAAAGTCACTAGGGAAGCCAGATTCACTTAACAACTGTGTTACTAACTTAACAACTGCAGGGATTCACTTGACAACTGTGATAAGAAAGGTCACAAAATGGAGCAAAACTCATTCTATTGCTTAGCCATAGAAATTTTGAGCTCAATTGTGGTCATCATTCAAGAACTATCTGTACTTTCATCCATGATGCACAGGCTGTGAGGGGACAGGGGAGAAGAATTTAAAACAGCTACTTAGCCTTTATTGGAAGTGCTCTAAGCTTGAAATGAACCTACTGAAATAAGGCTGTATCAAAAGACAATATTTGTAGTATGGTTGTAACAACTCTGGAGCATTTCCCATAGATCAGAACAATCCATTTGAAACTCAAAACACTGTTTCAAATTCTAATTATTCTATGTGCTGCCAGGAGCTTCTTCTGCTAAGCTTTTTGATCTTGGTGTTTATAAAAATAGGTCACTTGTTCAAATCAGAAACTATAAAGAGTAGCATAAGAACAGGGGTTCTGACTTTACTATTAATCTGTATATCGTGAAATAGTATTGAAAGACTGCCACTGATGATAAATGAGTGGCATACCAGGGGGCTGGAGTGGACAACAGCATGGCTATGTGTATATGTGGATGGTTAACAAAATAAATATGTGGTACCGGTGGGTGGGAGATTGACCCAAGTGTTTTGCTATATGATCTTTCAAATATTACTGCTCTGCTTTACTGGAATCTTAACAAAACTAATAGTATTTCATATATATTTTCAATTCACTCACTTTAAAAGTATTAAGGGTTTAATGATACACATGCTTCTCCAGGTCTCCCAGAAAGCTATTTGAAATGTACGACTGAGCCAGGATTTAACAGAACATTTGGGGGAAGGGGGTTTATTCCTCCTGACTACAAAATCCAAGTTTGCCATATGTATGTCCAAAAACGACATACCCTCTCCTATTTAGGTGTTCGGGTCTATATCCAAATGTTCTATAAGTGAATTATTAGCACCACTTTTAATCAAAGAGATTTTATCTGTTATTTGGTAGGATACCTGAATGGAAATTGAGTTTGTTGCATCTGGTAAAGGTGGAGTCAATTTAGGTGTTACTGGATCTGGAAGCACAGATATATATATATATATATATATGCTTCTAATCCCATACTGGAGTATACATTTTAAACAATGGGCTTACTTATGGGTAGCTGTGTCAAGTTGCACTGTAGGATTATACCTAAAGACCAAGTAAATCAATGTGCAGTTACTAAATGGTCTCTTTCATCCATTTAATATTTAAAACACAGAATATATTATAAGACTGCAAGCTATTCAGAAGCTTCAGCAAGGCAAAGGGAATTTTCCCCAGCACAAAGTCACAACCAAGTAAACAATATTCACACATGCATCTGCCCACCCAAATAACAATGCAAAAGTAACTCTCACATGTAAAACACACTGCACACCGTGCGTTTTAAACAGAGCATTTATGCAAGTTGCAAACTTTAGCACTACAAGACGACAAATCAGTGCTGGTCGACTCCAATAGAACACCCAGTAAAATAAATTTAAAGTCCAGAATGCTGAAGCCACTGAATAATAGGAAAAGGTCAGAGCAAAAATTTTATATCCAGAGATTCCACTTGCAGCGCCTCTAATTGGGAAGACCTAAGTGCAGGTGTTGTCCAGATTGCCAGAAAAGTATCACTAGTGTAGACAAAACTGAGTCAAATGGAGCCCACTGGACTTGGTATAAAGGCATTTCTCATTTCTTACTACTACAAGTCCCAAATCTTCCTGAAAGTACTTTGAAGAATTTAAAAATTACACATGAAGGCGAATATACATGTTCCAGGATGTGGCAGAATCCAATCTGGGTCGGTCACTGCCGGGACCAGAGGTTTCGTCTTCCAAGCTTTCAGACTTGTGCTGGAGCCCATCCCTGGGGAACGTTTCTCTAGCCTAGAGAAGTTTCCTGAAGATGGGCTCTCGCACGACCCCGATTGGATCCTGCAATTTGGAAATTGTTTGTCATTATATATTTTGGGGGTGCATCTGGTGGCATGTTCAAAAATGTATTGTCAAAAACACAAACATTTTTCAAAACAGCAAAGCTCTACACAAAACGTTCTTTACAGACAAAGCTACATTTCTAGATATGTAATAGGTAAAAAGATCTGCCCCTATGACTATAGCTCCAGCACAGAAGAGAAGACAATCATTGAAACATTTACTTGGAAACAGCAGATGGATATCATTAAGTCACATTACGACATGTGCTCACAGAACAGAACTGTGCTGGGATTTAATAAGAAATGCTGCATTGTGTATGTATCAGATTTAATTATTTTTGTAATAAATTCTGAAGCTGAATGAAGCATTTATCATATAACATTCATGACCTAGTTCATGCCCTAGCTTAATTAATTCAGTGTGATGATAATTCTTCTCTTTAAAAGACTCAGACAAACAAAACAATATTTTCCAATCTTCCCCAGAAAAGAGACATTTTTGCTACGTCAGGTTTCTTGGGCCTTTGCAATTGGGCAAATTGAATCAGTTCAAGGAATGAGAAACTAATCATTTCATTCCAAAGCAATATGTCAGGAACATCCACTTTTAACGAAATAGGCTAAAGGCTGCAGCTACTGTATGGTAGAGAGTACTGATTTATTCTCATGTCTGGTCTACAAATCAGTAAATATGTTGACATCTCCATTATTCATTAAACAGATGGGTTGCATTTCCCCTCTCTCTTATAAAGGAAAGTAGTTAAAAGGGCCTTTTAGAAGTGACATATCCCAATCCAATTTGGGGCTCAGAACCACTCCGGCTCCTTTTTATAAATTATATTAAAAGGTTAGGAAGGACAATTGATCATGACTAGTTTGTCAAACCAATCTTACCGCCTCTTTGGTTTGTGGCTTACAGAATGATTGCCTGTTGTACATTGCTTACTATACATTAGAATGAATGCTTACTTTACAGTTTTTAAAATTAGCCCATCATTGCCACAGCTTATATTTGCTACTGTATTTTACAGGAATGGTTCAGATTCTTTATATTATCACGTCTTTAATTTTTTTGGCTCACTATTTGATTGTTGATTACTGTTCGATTGTTGTGAGCCACCCAAAGTTGTTGAGAGTCAGGCAGCATACAAATTTAATGAATTTATTACTGTTATTGTTAGTCCATAGTCAGCCAGATATATAGACTGGATTTGTCACTTTTATCTATTTATCAAGTCCTAAGGCAGGTAGATGTTGTTGCTTGATGTTAGATATCGTCACAGGATGTCAACTGTTCCAAGTAAAGCTGCTTTTTGCAACTGATTGGTGGTGACTTTGTCAATGCCAATGATATTGGGATTGCACCCAAGTTGCCAAATTACTACTGGTGCTATCCTTGCTTTCTTTTGCCACAGTCACTTGACTTCTATTTTCAAGTCTTTGTATTTTGTGATTTTTCTCCAATTCTTTCTCTTCTTTTTTTTCTCCAGGCATTGCATTGTCCATCACCTGGACTTTTCTGTCTGTCTTATTTCTTTGCTCTTTTTAAGAGCATAATGTTGCTTACCAAAAAGAGAATGGCATGGTATGGTATGTACATCCATTCATAGATATTTAGAACAAAGATTATTTGTTTTGGGTACTTATTTCATAATAATGAACCATATTGTTTTTATTCATAAACAATGTGTATTAAATCAATGAATATTAAAAGCCAAAAACAACCTTTAAAAAACTTCAGTTAGTTTGCTAATCAATATCTTGAAAATGCAAAGTTACAATTCATCTTGAAGGTTATGGGTTTCTTCTCTGAAAAGAGTTCTGTGAATCATTTACCCTCCCTTGATGAACAGCAGCAAATGCTTACACTCAAATTTAACTGGCAGAATTACTGTTTAGAATTCAAGTTGAAGAGTGCTGTTTGAGCCTCTTGTGAATTTCTGACTGAGATGCCAGATGGAAGGGCCTTAGATAATAACCCACATCAGCATCCCCCAATTTGCTATTCTCCAGATACATTAAGAGTATAATTCTGTGTATTTCTAGTCCACACAGATTGTGAGTAAACTGGCTGGGAATTCTAAGGTTGTAGCCCCAAGGCACCTAAAGAGCATCAGGTTGAGGAAGGCTGCAGTACATTTAACATCTTAAGCTTGATCCTATATGGGGAAAACATTTTACAATATTCAGGTCGGATGTGTTTAAAGGACTTATTTTACATTATTCTAGCCAACAATTCCAATTCAAGTAGTTTACCTAGGCATTTAAATTACATTTAGCATCATTCATCAACAATCAAAACTAAGTCAAGGGTGATAACAAGTACCACCAAGTTTTATCTTACCCCTTAGAGCAGGCAGCAGGGACCTTTCTTTCTTGTCATCACATTTGTTACACTCACTGAAGTACAACAGGAGAAACACATCCACCAAGACCCACATGAGAGATGTGGCGAGAACCACCTTGCAGTAGACAAATCTCCTCATCCTTTATTGAGTTATTAGTTACAGGCTGTAGTAAAAGCAGGTGCTAATATGATGCTATATCCAAGCCAAGGAAGCTGGCTCAAATACACAGATGAGAACATCCCACTGAAAAATAAGAAAAGCAGAAGAATAGAATTAACTGACAAGTAAACAACTTCATAAACACAAAACATCTTCATCTGTTGCTGTTTTCTTTTAAAACATGTTTATTCATTTTTATTGTCATCCACTGTGTGCAAGAAATGCATGCCAAATTTTCAGAAAGAAAAAAAAAGAGACAAACTTTCTGGTTGCGTAATAGTATCTGAAAATGGCTTTGGGAGATAGGAGGAAGAACAGCAGACTAGGCAATAGTTAGATAAGAGGCAATTGTACCTGCAGAAGGAATATGGGTGGAACAAATTTCTCAGAAAGGCCCTCACTAGTTTCTTGGGCTGTAAAGGTGGGGGGGGGGGAATGTATTTTCAGATTTGCAAGATCATTTGTCAGCCTTGCAAAGCAGTTGAAACAAAAAGCACCCAGACGTACTAGCATTCACTTTATTGCAAAGTTACATTAAAGAGAATCTTGCAAGTCATTCCCATATTCCGTTATAGGTGTATTTTGGTAGTGGTTGCTTTGATGTTTTCCAAATTCAGGTTATGCATGTCTTTAAATCATTCTTCAGAAATGTATGCTGGCTCAAAAGAAAAGAAAAAAGCATAAACTGAGGATTTAATGAATTCTCAAGTGAAATATCTTGTTGCAATAACACTTACAAGAAAATGGATAAATGATATAGCATTGTTGTTAACTACAGCTACAAGATGTGCTATTCATATTCAAAGTATCAAGTATCAGCACCAGTAGATATTGATTTATACTTCCTTTAGTAATACATGCAATTAGATGTTCCTCCCCTTAAATATCATTTTCTGTTAACATTATGTGGGGTTCTTGTCTGATCTATGCATATCCTTACTTCACACAATTATAAATAACATTTTTACTTTTATAACATGAAACAATTTTCCAAAATAAATCAACAATGTAACTCAGTTTCAGTTGATTGTGATTGAAGATTGATCAATAATGGTGCAATTCATCTCCCGATGACTCAGTTGTGAAGATATAGACATACTAAAAAAATGGGAAGATAATACTGGGTGCCAGGTTCTTTAAATTTAAATTCATACATTTTCATTTATTACCTTGCAGGAGATTGCCATCTCTATTTACTTTTTACCATTTATTTTGTAAACTTTTACCTGTCCAATGTATTAACAGCGGTTCTACAAGCTGAAATTCCAAGCTTCTTCAAGTATCTTGAAGAAACATCCCCAATGAGCCACATAACACAGAAAATCAGGACACAATTGGGACATTTGAAAGAATCAAGCACAGTGGAATCCATTTTAAGCCCAAATCTAGAAACAGGAGGAATCAAAGCTGGTAGGCTGAATAAATACTGTAATTTTCGCTTCCAAATCTTCAGGAATTCCTTCCTTTTTTTTTTTTTTTTTTTACTTCCAGAAAGGAACAGACAAGCACTAGTTTTGATTACCTTAATAACCATCCCCAGGAATTACAATTCAGAAAAATGGACCATTAATTGGATCATTATCTTAAAAACTCTGATAGAAGTAGCCACATTGAGACTGATAAAACTGATTAGGAAATATTCATCACCAATCAATGCTTTTCTAAAAAGATACTATATATAATTTATTTATAAGATACCGCCCCCAAAGCAGGGTTATCTCCGAATTATGGTTTTGCTATAGTGAAAAGTAGTTTTTTTCTTATGAAAATCAAATATTTAAATTTTCATACATTCACTCATTCTTTAGAGCTCGACTTATCAGGGAATCACCATTTCTATATATTCAAACTCAAAACAGCAATACAGCAAAAATTTAATTAAAAAAAATAAACTCCAGCAAAATAAAATAATTAAAACAAACTCTTTTATAATACATTATTAAAAGCAATTTGTTAAACATAGTTAATAGGCTTATTCCCACAAAGTTAATTTTCCCACTTAACATATTAAAAGTATAATTCTATGCAATGTTTGAAAGGGCTCTCAGCTTTGGTGAACAATGCTATAGAGGTTGTCTACTCCTAGTTAAAACATATAACGAATTGATCAATCCACATTTCAGTTTCCTCATGGTTAAGCAGACCTTATCCATCACCTATCTTTCGTTATCACCAGTTTCACCAATTTCCATAAAAAGTCTTTTTAACACTATGTTTTCTATGTCCAGCTCTGAGTGTAGCTACTAGAATAGCTGCTATTCTTTAAGGTCTCTCTTCTCTCTGGTTACAGCCAGTGGTGGGATTCAGTCAGTTTGCACCACTTTGGCAGAACCGGTAACTAATACTTTGTTGCCCAGGCCCAGAATGGACTTCCGGAAGCGGCATCCACACAGAGAACTGATTGTTCACATATTTGAATCCCACCACTGGTTACAGCACATTAGCAGATATGCTCAAAGACAAGTCTACTGCAAGCATGGTGGGGCAGTACTGGAAACTAGGATTTTCCCATGCTAGGCAGTAAGAAAGATCCCATTGTGAAAACAGGATTTATTTTTCCCCTGCTAACCTTTCTAGAAAAAGGGAATTTTCATGTCAGCACAAGGGGAAAGCCGGAGGAAGGAAGGCCTATAAAGTTGTGTGTATGTACAAATGCCTGTGGATATGACAGACAGCGCAAGAGAGGGGAAGGATATGTTTGTGTGCCTCTCTGATTGGAAGGTGAAAACACTTTTCTGTGTGGTTATGTATCAGGGGAATGCTGTGTGTCTGTTTCCTGTTTTTTATGGAACTATCTTAAGATAACTTTGACAAAAGACGGTGTTTAACCTATCCCTAAGGAATCAACAGCTTGCACACTATTTGATAACCAAGCCTGCTGTTCTCCATGACTTTCCTTTATTAAAACAAACTCAGCGGAAAAAGCATCCAGAAAACTCACACATTGCTACGCAATGTTTAGACACATCCAGTCTAAATAATTTACACGGGTAACATTTAGGGCAAGATCTGCTACACAGCTAGAAAAGTTATCTGAGTTTTGGGATAGAAATTGTCTCAGCCCAGCCCAACTCACACAGATGATTTTCCATGTCACTCATGACTTGCCCCCTGCAACAAGAATAGGTGGAAGGTGTAAACTCGTATTATATAACCAATCTTATCACGGATACCTTAGCAAAATCTGTAAAGACTTTCAAAATAGTATTCATGCCATCTAAGAAAATGAAATATATAATACTTGAGGTATGTAGATCTGGATCCTAAAGTAAGTTAATACAAATAAGTTTGTAGAAGAAAAGCTTGCCACCCCTTCCACTGCTAGAAAAACTTGGCCTCCTTTCCCCCTCCCCCCCCCAAAAAAGTGAAGGTTTCCCCTGACCAGTTGTGTCCAACACTCGGGAGCAGTGCTCATCTCCATTTCTTAGGCAAGGAAGCCAGCATTGGTTGAAGACTTCTCCATGGTCATGTGATTGGTATGACAATGCACCAAGGTGCATGGAATGCTGTTACTTTCCCACTGAAGTGATACCTATTTATGTACTCACATTTAGCAATAGCACTTAGACTTATATACCACTTCACAATGCTTTGCAGACCTGCTCTAAGCAGTTTATAGAGTCAGCATATTGGCCCCAACAATCTGGGTCCACATTTTACCAACCTCGGAAGGATGGAAGTCAGCCTTGAGCCAGTCGTAATCGAACTCCTGGAGTAAGCAATGAATTAACCGGCAGTATTGCATTCTAACCACTGCACCACCAGGGCTCTTGTTTGCATGCTTTCAAACTGCTAGGTGAGCAGGAACTGGGGCAGGAACGGCAATTCACTCCATCACATGATCCTTGGTCTCAAACTGCCAACCTTCCAGTCAACAAACCCAGAATCTTAACTATGCCTTTCCTCCCAGTTCCTCCAAAAACTATTTCCAGAGGATGGAAATGGGGCGAGGTGGGACAGAAATGGAGAGATTTTCATTTCTGATTCTCCCCAAACAATTTACATTTGGAACCCATGCTAATTTTGGATGGTTTCCCTCGTCCTTCTCCAATTTTGGATTTTTCAGAAGACTCCCTCAACCTCGGGATGGGGATGAGCGTAGGTAATTGCAATAAGGAGGAAGAAAATGAAAATTTTCTTTTCATTAAAAGTTATTTCATATATTCTATATAAGGCTCTGGGATGAAATGGAAGCAGTTGCAACCGAGACATGCTTATATCATTCTTAGACTATTTCTAAACACTCAATGAACTTAAAATCTCACTGAAATGCTCTCATTTTTATTTATTTTTTTATTAAGTAATATATTGAGATCTATATATTCTAGAAACAGAGAAGAAAATATAGTAGATGGAATGGATGCAGCAGACTAGAAAGTGCCTAAACAAATTCACAACATCATTCAACCTATTAGGTTCATGACTCTTTAATTTAGTTCTCACTGTAGTATTAGAGGCTGTGAGCCAGCATCCAAAGATACACTGGCTGCTACAACACAGATTCAATATACAAGGCCTTGGCTTCCAACAGGGCTCTTCTCAAAACAGCTTAAGTGTCTTTTAATTGAATTGTAATGCAAAGGTACATTGTATTTCTGATATTAAATGTCAGAGCTGGTGAGAGTTCGTAGACCCTCAAAACACTGAGGTTTTGTAAACCAACATTGGTTAGAATCAAGTCTGGCAACAGAAGAGTTAAACTCAAAATGAGTGTTTATCTTGGGAATGTAATGCTTTATAACTGAAGAAGGGATTGTGCAAAAAGTTCATGAATTGGGGCGTTTACAGAGCTCATTATTGGAGAGCTATAAAAGCACTGCTGGTTAAAAGTTGTTGTTAACAAGGTAAAAAGCCTGAAAGCTGCATTACAATGGAAGCATAAGTAATATGTGATAACATGCTATCTGCAGAATGGCTCTCTGCCTAAAAGTAAAATCAATTTGCTGGCAGCATGGCCAACTATAAAAACCATTTAAATCATGAGTTCTGAACCAAGCGCAGACAAATCACAAAAATAAATTACTATTCGCTCAATTGCACTTAAAAGGGATTATAATTGTCCCGATTCATGATTTAGTTACATT